ATCTTGCTTGAATCCAATTGATTCATTTTCTAGTTTTGACATAAGGAAGATAATGAGAATGGCTGAATTATATCCTGATGATTTTGATGGGTCCAACATGAGAGCTCTTGAGAATCAACTTGTTAATTACATTATTGATGTTCGTGATATTGATGAAAGGTTCTCCAATTTGGGTGGACTTGGAGAACTTTCAAGAAAGTTGGTTGAGACAAAGAAGCATTTAACCTATTCTCTCGTATTTCTTTTAGTGAAGTTTGCTTTGCTTCTACCTGTTGCCACTGCTACAGTTGAAAGAGCTTTTTCGGCAATGAAGATTATCAAGAATGACTTGCGAAATCGAATGGATGATGAATTCTTAGATGGTTGCATAGTACCTTATGTAGAGAAAAAAGTATTTAAAGATGTTTCTAATGAGTGTATTATGAAAACATTTCAAGAGATGAAGTGTCGTCGAGTGCAATTGTAGTTACCACTTTACAATTTACATATTTTGGTGTATATGAAACTATCCGTCAATATATTTGTCCTACTTCATCTTCCTTAGTTTATTCATTGATATTTTGTAAGTTTCTGTTTTAAGAATTTTCATTTTGGATAGTTGGTTAATTTGATATTGAGGTATGACTATTTTGAAGCCAATCTTTATAATTTGACTAGCAAGGTTTATTTTTTTACTTGTCCTAAAGTGTGAACACCCTTGGCGAAAATCCTGGCTCCGCCACTGCTTGGAGCGATTGGTCAAGCTAGGACATTTAGAACTTCTTTATAGTTCTCAATTCTAATTTAACTAGGGAAGATCAACATTCTTGACGATTGTAGCAGAGCCAAAGGTGATTCTTTCAATCAAAATTTACTTAAAAAGAATAAATAAATAACCCTCGACATCACAAAGCATGACCTACCGGCTCAGATTGCAAATGTAGGAAGGTGGATTACCTGCTAATCAAAGTGCTTTATATATTGATAAAAATAATGTTAATGAATTCATTTTGAGGAAAAATTGGTGTTTTGCTCTATAATTTTGAGGACATCACAATCTGGCTGCTAAATTGTTTGATGAAGGAGTAAAGCATCATAGTGATATCGACATGGTATTGTGATTTACTTATATACATTTTTTATTGTGTTTTTGAATTACTTGTGCATCAATAAATCAAATTTGAAAATTTGATCTAACACATGTTCTATTAACTATTAGAAGATAAACAATATTAATTATGTCATAATATAAAAAGAAGTTAATTGTCTTATTTATTCATTTATTAAGGCTCTTAGTATTGAACATGTTATATTTTTAAAGTTATGGGTTCATATATACTATTTATTTCAATTTTAATATATTTTTACACATAAATTTGAACAACATTAAAAATACTAAAGTCAGATAAATTAGTCCCAACATACCTTAAGAAGAAAAAGACAGAAAACACTAGACATAAAGCACATCACTACAGTTATTCTAGGTGTTATAATATTATATACAAAATCCCTAGTCTAGTTTTTTCTATATGACAAGCTCAATACTGCACATAATGTGAATGCTCAACAAAGAGTTAAATGTTACTATTATGTACAAATAAGATTCTATCATGCACAATTTTACTAGCTGCATGATGATAATTCACAATTTTCAAAATGTTTTGTCAAAAACAAGCTATGTTAAGATAATTGTCATAGTATTCAGAAAAAGTAGTAGGAATAAAATAGTTATGGATCACAGAAGTATATTCACTATACTCACCCAATATTATGCTTGATCTTTAACCTTCATGATGTTTTGCTGAACTTTTTCACCTAGTATTTCAAATATTTTGACAGACCTTTCCACCTCTCCTCCTCTGTTTTGAGCCTCTTACAAGCGCCTTTCAACCTTTTTGAGTCATTTCTCTACTGCTAAAATCTTTATATTTCTTTATACCAAGTCATTTATAGCTTCTTTAGACACAAGTATAGTAGTCTCTCTTAACTCATTGAATAGAAATACTTTTTCTTCACATCTTCTTATTTAGAAATCTCACTCAAATACTGTTATAGTCAAGTTATATCAAGCTTGATATACGCGGTATCAGAGACAAAAAATTTCATAGCTTTGATGGAAGAAAAGCTAAAATAAGTGATTTTCAACCGCCTGACTACATCACTTACTCATCAAGAAGGAAAGCTTTGGCAACTAATGGTTTATAGTGACAATTGACTGTAATGTAACTATACTTGGAAAAAATGGCAGCAAGTATATGAGCAACTATTTATGCTGAGCAAGAGCTTGGGCTATGTCAAGTTAAGTCGTTGCGCGCTATCAGTTACTCTTTAGAGATATAAAACTCCAAGTCGATCAACATGCCTAAGGAGAGTTTAAGGACTATAGTCGAAGACACATTCAAGTACGGTGACACTACAGTCAACTGCCATTATATATCATCACCAGCTACTAAAAATTTCCTTATTTATGTTGTTAGTAATGTTGTCAGGCAGCGGAAAACTAGTTATATTAATTTTTCTTTCATTAAATCTAAGAATTTTCTTTTCTTTGATACCGCGGATGCCAAACTTGATGTCTTTTGGCTACAATAGTATCTGATGAGATTTATAAAAAGGAAGATATGGAGAAAAAATATTTCTATCTAATACCGTTAAGCGAGAGTAACTTGCTTGTCTCTAAAGTAGCTAAGAAGAACATGATAGAAAAGAGTAGTGAGGTTTTATATAAACGGGTAAAAAATGTTGAAAGACGTTTGCAAGAGGCCATAAGCCGAGATGGAGAGTTGAACAAGTCTGTAAAAATATATGAAATATTGAATGAAAAAATTCAATAAGACACCATAGATGCTAATGATCAAAAACAATATTTGCTAAGTAAGTTGAATGTGCTTTTGTAGCCCGCAATTATTTTATCTCTACTATTTTTTTGAACACTATAGACAATTATCTTATAATTTGTTATCATCGTGAAGTTGACAAGATGACACATGATTGGATCTTGTTTATACATGACGACGATATTTAACTTTTTTTTGTGAACATTCACATTTTGTGCACTATCAAGTTTGCCATATAGCAAAAAGTAGATTGATTTTTTTTTCAAGTAATACTATAATACCTTGAACATTTGCAATAATGTGCTTCGCATCTATTTATTTTTTTACTTGACGTACAAATTTTTTCATTTAAGGGCCAAGTACAAAATTCGATACACATACACGAGTGTTAGACCCTTTGCTTATACAAATTAACGTGGCTAGTTACTTAGCCATGCAAAAAAAAAAAAAAAAAGAATTGCGAAGCTACCAAAGTTTTGAAATTTAACTTTGCTTCATCAACCAAAATTTTGTTCTTGTTTCTTTCTTCTCCATACACTATTTCTCAGTGATTCAGGTATGTTTCTTCCCTTTTTCTTTGTTCTTCTCTCTCGTGCATCACCCAACCCGGATTTCTCCTAACCCCTCCACTCAAAATTTTGAATATTGATTGTTTGATGTCAAAGGTGAAGTCTTGAGTAACGTATGGTTGAATCTACCATTGTTTCTTGTTTGTGTATGCTCGGGGAGTGTTAGGGTGCTTCAATTTTGTGATTTGTGTAGGAGTGGAATTGTGCACACCAAGTGTTTGTCAAAATGTGTGAACAGATTCAGGTAGAGGTATTAGCAATCTTTTGTTGCAGCTATTGTTTAATGAAGTGTTTGTCTTCTTTGAACGTAAGTGTGAAGGGTTTTTAATACTTGTTTGCTAAAAGTTTGGAGAGACCGAGAGAGGAAGATACTTTGAATTTTGGAATTGAGAAGGAATAGAGGTTGTGCGCACTAATGAAGGTTAACAAGAATGAAGTTTTCAAGTTTCAATAGTGATGACTGATGAGTAATTGTTGATGTCGTACTCTGAATTGTTTTGTGTAGTATTCCCTCATGTCCCTGATATGATTTTTGCTTTCTTGGTATGCTCTTTTATGATGGAATCATGCAGTTTGTAAGTGTGAAATATAGGTAAAAGGATCTGCTCCGGCCAGTCTGAAGAGCCTGAGGTCTTTGGAATTCTGGGAATGAGTTATGTACCCTCCTATTATGCTTACTATGATTGCAATGGGGACCATGCATATTTTTGTGTGGGGGTTAGGGTGGTTTATTTTGTGATGACTCTAGATTTTTTATGATGATTTGTGGATTTTTTATGATGAATGTGGAGATTAATTGATGTTGATGTGATCTTTTTGAGTTTTGTAGCTTGTTTGATACCAATAAAGTTTAAATTTTGGTCTAGAACTTCCCATAAGTGTGCTTTCCAGTGTAACTAAATTTCATTTGGTGAGAACATATAGGAGGCACATGAATTATACATGCTAATTTGGTATTGAAAATAGTATTTGAAGTGGATGCTTGATATTTTCTTATCCATTTATGTTAACTTCTCCCAAGCAGTGAATTTTTTGTTCACATGATGTGTGGATTCAAGATATCTTGATGTTGACATTTTGTTTGGAAAAAAGGATGATATGTATTAGTAACATGTTTTACCCTTAAATGAGCATTGAGCATGTCACAAATTATTATGCTGCTTCTCTTTTGAAGAGGTTCTGGATGCCCCAACAACAATTAGTCTTGAACAATTAAGCTGTTTCCCTGAGTTGTGGCTCATAGTCCTTACTGGTTCATTAGCTGAAACTTGAGTGAGCTTGTAATATCTATAGTTTTTCCAAATGGAGAAGCTACAAAGTTTTTCTTTCAATCTTCTAGAAAATTGAAGATTGCATATAGTGTATTTTCTGTATCGTTTTATCCCACTAGTAATTTGATCTCCTCTATATCTTCAATGCACTCTCAGATTGGTCAAGTGTGCATGTACAAATCAACAGTCTTGATTAATCCCTGTGTCTGTGAAGGTTCACGGATGTGGCATGTTTGGAGCTTAAGAGGCCACGAGTATCATTGGTCACATAAACCCATGACAGCATAATTAATTCGGTCCATCCAATCAGTCAGTTGGGTAAAAATCGGAATAGAGTTCCCTTTCTCAATGGGAATTTGGGGGATTAGTGCAAGGAGTAGGAATTGGCTTGGCCTCTGCAACATCAGTTGGCGAATGAGTAGACAGTCATTCAAGCACATTGGTCGAAGAACATTTTCAGACTCTTACACTGTCCAAAGTGACGATTCTGTCTTGCCAGTGTTGATTATCGGTGCTGGTCCAGTTGGGATGACTCTCTCCATACTTCTAACGAAACTAGGTATTTTCTTGAACCCCTTCCCCCCCAAAAAAAAAATTTGAAAAATATTTATTTTCCAGTGGTCGTTTGAATATAAAAGTGTAAGATGAAGTACAAACATAAGTGAGGGGGAAAAAGTATTTTCCTTGAAGAAAACAGTTTCAAAATCCCAAGCTAACCTAACAAAAATAATTTTCTGCATACCAATTGCACTCAGCTTATTGTCAAGCTCTGGATTCTGGGGTTCCCTTTTGAAATTTGTACAGTCATTTCTGTTGGTATTCTTGTTTGAATTTTGGAATTTTTTTTCTTGAACTCCTTTAGGTGTAAAATGTGCGATCTTAGAGAAGAACAAGGCCTTTTCCACACATCCTCAAGCACACTTCATCAACAACCGGTCTATGGAGGTTGGTTGTCATTTGGAAACATGCCTTTTTGCCTTTTCTTCTGTTGCATAGAAAGTTGAGATTTGAGAGTGCATTGATTGAAAAACCCTTTTTTTGATGTAGCTATTCTTTCTAGGTATTTCGCAAACTGGATGGTCTTGGAGATGAGATTCTAAGGTCTCAACCACCAGTAGAGTTTTGGAGAAAGTTTATATACTGTACTTCACTGACGGGGCCTATTTTAGGTGCTGTTGATCATATGCAACCTCAAGGTAAGGATATATTTATGTGATTTATAAGTGAACTTTTTTCTAGATGTTCTGCTAATGGGTTTGCTATAAGTCAGTATCTTAGTCATGCTTATTGTTATTGTAAATTAAATATTCTATCAAGTTTTATGTTAAACGGTCCGAACTAATGCAAAATTAAGAAGTGACGATAACCAACTTCTCAAGCAATTTATCTCTAAAAAATGTTGTAGTAGCTCTTCTATTTCTTAAAATGGATACTGCAACTTAGTTTTCACTTTCTTAACATGCCGCTGAATACAAAATGTTACATGGGACAATTTGCACTTTATGGTTTCTTAAGTCGTCAAACTACATTTTGTTCATGTCAGATCCTCTTTAACATATGAAATGGAATAATTGTACCCAATTCTAATCAGAGAAGATATCACTGAATAAATGATGTAAGTTCATATGTAATTTCTGTTTTTAAAGATAGATTGCAATTTAGATTGAGATTTTAAGTGATCAAATCCATGAAAGAACTGGCAGACGTGCCCCCAAGGCCTAACTCTAGTGGCAAAAGGTGGAGGATTTGTGGCTTAGGTCGCAGGTTCAAGCCCCACACCATGCAAAGCGAAACCCGGTATTTAAGTGGAGAAGGGTAGAGGGGAGGGCCCATTATCCACCGAGTTTAGAAGGCTGTGATTGGTCCAAAGGGCGGGTCATAGACAGATTTCTCGGTTATCAAAAAAAAAAAAAAACTGGCAGATGTATAAACTGTTATTATTCCATTAGTGCATCAGACTTGTCTACATACAAATGGGAAGTATGTATCCTTAAATGAGATGGGAAGAGAGTAGTATGATATCCATCTTATTAGATACATTTATTGCATCACAATTTTATTGAGTTGCTTTGTGGAAAATACATCTTATATACTTATGATTGTTTTGTTTTCTGCAAACTATTTTCTTTTTGTTGTCAGATTTTGATCAGATTGCGAGTCCTGTCTCTGTTGCACACTTCTCCCAGTACAAGCTCTCCAGATTACTGCTTAAGCACCTTGAGAAACTTGGTTTCCATATGGTAAACTCTGAAAAGCGTGAGCATGGGTCTATTGGCGAGAGGGAGATCCTTATGGGGCATGAATGCATTGCAGTCAATGGTGCTGAGCGTGGTGTCACTGTAACAGCCTCTTTCCTTTCTAAAGGGAAGTATATGACGAGAGATATTCAGTGCCATTTCCTTGTTGGTACAGATGGTGCAGGAAGTAGTGTCAGAAAGTCCTTAGGAATCAACATGAGAGGTGAAAAGGACTTGCAAAAGCTTGTTAGTGTCCACTTCCTGAGCCAAGAGTTAGGGCAGTATCTCATTAAAGAAAGACCCGGCATGCTGTTTTTCATCTTTAATAGAGATGCTATTGGTGTTCTTGTTGCCCATGATCTCAAGCAAGGGGAATTTGTCCTGCAGGTAAACCTGTTTTCTAATGTGAGAAATTAGCATAGCTATAATATCCACCTGCTCGTATAAATAAATCTAAATCTGTTGACATTGGTTAACAGCATTTTGATGTCATTGGTAAAAATCTTGCAGGTACCATTTTATCCACCTCAACAGAAGCTTGAGGACTTTAGTTCTGAGGTGTTTTTCTACTCTTTCATTGAATTTTTTTGTGTAGTCTATTAGTCTAATAATTGCCTTTGGTGGAAGAGAATGAATCAATGGGTTTATGTTATCGTGATTCATTTATTTTGTATACCACAATATGGGTGCTATGGCTGCAGTGCATGATATTTGTCCAATATGGTTTATTTACCATGTTATTCTTTGTACTTTATGAATGGTTGCAGATGTGTAAGAGATTGATCTTCAAATTGGCTGGCCTAGAGCTTGCAGACGTCAACGTGATGGATATTAAGCCTTGGGTGATGCATGCGGAAGTAGCTGAGAAGTTTCTATCTTGTAACAACAGGATAATACTTGCTGGTGATGCAGCTCATCGATTTCCTCCTGCTGGTGGTTTCGGTACGCAATCTGTTTGCGCGTTTATCATGTTTTCGTTATGTCAACTTAAAACTTGTAATTATTACCTTTCTAAAAATTGATATTATCTTGTCGTATCTTGGATACTATTAAGAATTAAGTTTTTGCCATTCCTTTTCTCTTGGGAGAGTTGGGGGAGGGGAGAGAAGACATTAATGCAGTACAGTGTTTTTTTGTCATTGATTTGTACAAGAATGCTTCCTAAAATGTTGATGTAAAGGTAAAAAATAGCAAAGTTATTTCTGTGGGAGGGAAATAACAGATTTCCACGTAGCTCAAAATATTGGAGCTATCATCAGCTTAACTAAGCTTAAGAGGGCATTTGTTGGTTGGAGGACATCTGAACTGCAATCAGGCTCCACATTATGATGTTAGTTACTATGCATTGCCCTGGTGATTTTAACACGGTTGATATTGTGTCTAATTATATGTAGAGAACCTGATTGCAATATGGTAATTTTAAATGACATAATCAATTACGCTTGTAATAGTGTTCCCTCTCTAACCATTAAATCTTTTAGATGAAATGATTCACACAATTCATTACATAATCAAAGTGTGTCCATGTTCTTTCTCTAATCACTACCTGTCTAAGAAATATTTCTGACTTGCTTGGCTATGAGATCCTGGGAAACACTTAAAAGGAATTCTAAAGATATAAGGCCACCAAAAGGTGTGGCATAATGATTACTGAAGTGGGTATGAATTTTGGAGACCAGGGTTCAAGTACCAGCAGAGTGTTCCCATCTATCTAAGCCTTGATGGATAGAGTACCTGTGTTGGTGGAAAGTAGCAAGTAACCAGTGAAATAGTCTAGGTGTGCGCAGGCTAGTCTAGACCCCACCATTATTAAAAAAGACATAATTAAGAAAAACAAATAGTGTCATTTCCCCTCTATAATTGATTGAACATTTAGATGAGATTGTTCGAATATGGGGAAAATATGTCGAAGAGAAGGTGGAAAATAAAAGAGAACTTGGCAAATAATTTATATCTTGCAGAGACAAACGAACTGGTTTTGATAACTTCTAAATCAAGTTGTGAAAATTTTAAGGTGTTGTGTAAGATGCATCCAACTCGCGCATCATGAAATATATCTGCAGTTTTTATTTATTTTAGGATTCAATTGTTGAGACTGGGAGAAGGAGATCTGCTTAAGATTCTTTCTTCTTTTATTCAGGGATGAATACTGGTATTCAAGATGCTCATAATCTTGCTTGGAAATTAGCTTCTGTAATCAAGGGTGTCTCACCAATATCAATTCTCAACTCTTATGAACTAGAACGTAGTCAGGTATTCATTTCTTCAATTCTTGGTTTCATAATATATATGGTAGTCTATGTATTACAGATTTCTCTGATCTTGTTATTATGAGCTAAACACTCCTTAAAATGTTCCAGATAGCCCAATTTAATACAGCGCTTAGCGTCCAAAACTTTAAAGCGGCAATGAAAGTTCCTGCTGCACTTGGTCTTGATCCAACTGTAGCAAATGCAGGTAAAGTGAAAACCTGAAACTTAATTTTTATTACAATAATATTTAATTAAAGACATTATGTGGTTTTTGCCTGCAGTACATCGAGCTCTTAATGACACTGTTGGTTCAATTCTGCCATCCGTACTTCAAAGGACAATATTAGATGGAATATTCAGCATAGGTCGTGCACAACTCTCAGATTTTGTATTGAATGAAAATAATCCACTTGGATCTGCAAGGCTAGCCAAATTAAGACAGATATTTGAAGAAGGACAGAGCCTTCAGCTCCAGTTCCCTGCTGAGGATCTTGGTTTCAGGTTGTGTATGTACTTTCTTTTTTTTATCCATCTCATGCAAATTGTTCAAGCCGATTTTTCAATTATTATTGTCTAATTCATGTCTCCTATAAATGCTGGATGCTGTCTCAACTCTGAATAGAACTCCAAAAAAGCCATCTTGGATGTACGCCAGATGATTGTTTCTATCTTACCTATCCTGTTGGAAGTACTTGTTTTCATCAGTACTCTAATTTCGAGATGTTCACATTAGGTATCGGAAAGGAGCATTGGTGTCTGAAGATGACAGTGTGTTGAATGTGCATGAAGCACCAACAGGACGAAGAAGGGATTATATTCCTTGTTCGGAACCTGGATCAAGGCTCCCTCATATGAATGTTAAACTGCTTTCTAACCCGTCAAGCAAGGTATGAAATCTTCCAAGGGAACATTGCCTTGGTAGGAGCCAGACTTTGTTACATCAGTCTTGTTCGTCATCTCTTCACACGTGTGGAGAAGCCAAATAACTGAATCAAAAGGGGATTTTTTTTTAACCTCTAGCCTTCCTAAAGATTACAATATTCTACTTGCAGCCATTTTGTTTCAAGTTTCCATTACTATTTTTTCTAACAGAATACAATCTTATGCAGGAAATACTCTCTACTCTAGACCTTGTATCAATAGATAAGGTTGAGTTTGTCCTGATAATAGCGCCATTCAAGGAGTCCTACTGTCTGGCTCGAGCTGCACTAGAGGTGGCCAACAAATTTAAACTCCCTTTAAAAGTTTGTGTAATGTGGCCAAACGGAAGTATTGACGGAGCTGGAAGAACTGAGGCTGCATTGACACCCTGGAAATCTTTTGAAGAAGTTGTGGAAGTGAAGAGGTCATCAGATTCGCCATCCTGGTGGGACATCTGTCAAATGACAGACAGAGGAGCCATATTAGTGAGACCTGATGAACACGTTGCTTGGCGTACAAAATCCAGAATTGCAGATCCCATCAAGAAGATGAAAAGTATTTTCCACATTGTTACAGGAGTTGATTGCTTCTGATAGCACCTTTGATGAAATTTTTACCCCCATTTATGTATGGTAGGCTTCACATTCCTTCTCTGATTTACATTAGCTAGATTACAAGGTTGAAGTACTTTGCTTTCGGATGGGTAGAGTTACCCAATACCTATACTTACAGGTACTCGATAAAATAATTGAGGTGTAGCAAGTTTTCGGACACCACCAAAAGAAGTACCTTCATAATAATAACAAAAACCAGTTGTGCTGGTAATTTTCTTTCATTTTAGTTCTTGAAGTTTTAGTTTGACACAAATCTGCAGTCATATATTGGTCTTGACTTGTTGAAATTGTAGTCTTTAGCACATTTAAATAGTTGAAGTCTTTCTTTGATTTGGTTTTTAAAAGTATTTTCTCTAATATCTCCTAACAAACAACTTAGTATAGGTTTTAAATATTCGAACTTTAATCTTAAAATATTAAATTAATCTAATTTAATATAGCCTCCATAATTTTTTAAACTCATGATTCTTGATAAGGGAGAAATATTATGGGACAGAAAAATATAAATTATGACAAAAGAGAATCTCTATATTTGGAACACAACTTCAATTCAATTCTCTATTTTTTCATTCCAAAAAGAATCTTCATTTTTGTTTCCTTGATATGATACTAAGTACTGATATGAAATTATTTTTTATCCCAAATTTTTAAATAACATAAATTACAAGCAAAAAATATATATTACACATATTAATGAATAATTCAGATAAAAGTGAAATTATGGGTGAAATACAATTAAATAAATATTACATCATGACTCAACTTTCAAGATTATTTAACAGTACAAATATCTGTTTTGTTAATGATTTTTCATTTCTTTTTAATAAAAAAGATCTAGGTTTTGAAAATCTTAAGAATGACCCAGATTTCTTTTATTGTCAATTTTTTTGCATAGAAAATTGGTAACTAACAAAATTCTCTTGGCCTAAAAGAGTTGAATACTATTCCCCAGAAAAGTATGGATTTGGTAGAATGGATGTTGATTATGAGTCATTTTAAGATATTTGGAATAAGATATTGACAACATAGGTGGGTTGCAATTCTGGTTGGAGGGGAGTGATTCTTCATTCATAATTTGTTCAAAAACACAAAAATATGGAAGAATATCACATTATATTATGGTTATCACTCTCACTCTTATTGCGGTCTTACTTACCTCAATGTTATTGTTATTTTAGAGAAGATTATTCTATTCTTAACTCTTTATATATTTTATTGTGAGTTCTTTGAATGAAAATTGAAGAAAATTTGGGAGGCCCTTCCAAAAATAAAAAAATAAAAAAAAATCTACAAATTTAAAATTTTCCAAAATTTGTATTCTTTTAATTCTTATAATTATTGATAGATGGGAATCGCCGATGGGTGTGAGGATTATTTATATATTTCATTATTATGTATGAGAGGGAAAAAAAATATCTACAAATTTAAAATTTTCCGAAATTTGTATTCTTTTAATTCTTATAACTTAGTATACATACCGGCGCGTTGCGCGGATATTTTAAAATATAATAATTTTTAAACTTAAAAATAATTAATATGAATTATTATTATTGAGTAACAAAAGTGCATGTATATAATATTAGGATATAGTTTTTAAAAAATTAAATTAATTTTATATAAATAATTAATATATTTTTTATAATATTAATTAGAAAAAGGTTAGACATTATAAACGTCACCAACATGCTATTATGAATATAACGTGAAAACATACATGGTATTTCATTTCAAATCAATTTTAATTTGAAATTTGAAAGCAATGATATCAATTATTATCTTTAAATTAAAATACATGTGGAGAGATTTTATATGATAGAATGAAAATTTTGAAATGATAAAATAAAGTTGATCAAAATGAAAATCCAAAAATAACACTTTGCAAGTTATCATTCATTATATTGAAATCTTCTGAGCATGTTAAATTGCTAAAGAAATAAGAATTATAACACAAATTAAGCCTGACTATATAAGTTCTCACTAATCTAAATCCTAACTTTATCAACGTGAATCTCATCCATTTTCAAATATAATTTCTAGTATAGTAAGATAAGCCATATATTTATAAAATTGTCCATATGTCTTTTATTTTGTATGTACAATTCAACATTAGCTTTAATTATTATTATTTTATTTATAAAGGATAAAAAGCTATAATAATTTTACATTATGAAAATTTAGTTTACACGATTATTAAAAGATATAATAGGAAATACTTCTTATTCTAAGTTAGCCTATATATTAAAAGTTAAAAATATAATCGGGAATGTTTCTTATCCTAAATTTTGCAGTTAAATTGAAATTAAAAAATATAATATGAGATGCTTCCTATCCTAAATTTGCATATATGGAGTATAATTTTTGAAATACTCATAAAGAGTAGTTTGAATTTATTCTCTTTTTTTTTTAAATGATAACTCGAATACATTTGATGACATCTTTAAAAATAAAATAAAGATTTAAAATTATTTAAATTTATTTTTAAAATTCAAATTTTGTTTTTTGTATGTGATGTTAAACGTGGTACTTTTGTTTTTCCTATTATATAGGTAAAAGAGTAAATTGAGTTTTGAGAGATTAGAGTAGTTAGGTAAGTGGATAAGGGATTTTAGGTTTAGTTTCATTTCCTTATTACCTTTATCTATTTTAAAATAAAAAATAAAAAATTACCTACATATATTTAACCATCCTTATTAATTGTGAAAACTGCTTTAAAATCATTTTAAATTTAAAAAAATAAAAGAGTAATTTATTATTTTTTAAAGAGGTATTATTATTATTATTATTTTAATAATAATAATAATAATAATTTATTATTAAAATAAATTATTATTTTAAAATCATTTAATTTATTATTTTGGCTAAAGAGGAATTATTATTTTTTAAATTCAATTTATTAGTATAATTTATAATAAATAATAAATTTGAGTTATTAAATTTAAAAAAAAAAAAGAAGAAATTTCTTGTCATAGGCTATGCAACCCTTCAATCCTCAACATGCTATGCAATCCTTCAATCTAAAGAAAAAAAATCACACTATTTTAAGTCATTTTGTATTGCATATATGTTAGCACATACTATGTCTTCATTGCAATATTTTTTAATAGTTCGTCAATTTATTTTTGTAACCAACATATAATTTTTCAAATAATAGTATGAAACATCATTCTCTATAATGCAAATAACATCTCCAAACTAAAATGTAAAAGATAAGGCAAAACTAATAGAAATTGATAGAAAATAGGAAAGCAAAATAAGTTTCCTACATGAAAAATACGATAGCACAATCTCTTAAAATGTAAATTTGAAAATAATATGAAGTGAACATCAGATCTGCCTACTCTTAGCAAGAATGTTGATGACTTCTTCCTTCAGTTTTATCGTTGCAAATACAACACATTATACCTCGTGACAATTTTATTGATATATTTATATTAATATTTTAAATGGTATCATTAGAATGACTTTTTCCCCATAAATTGTAAAACTTTTTCTTCTCTAATTAAAATTAAAATAAGTTAAAAAAATTAGTACTTGTTAATTTAACAAATGACATAGTAAATTTCCTCACAAAGCAATATACAGTTATACACACACAAACACACACACACACAAAAGCCACCACTTTCAACTTAACATTTTCATGTTGCAGGGATCACATAAACTCAAATCTGCAAGATATAAAACAATATTAGTGTATGTTATTTTTATATTAGAAACTCGCATGATAAATAAAGAATTATATTTATTATAATATAAATAATCAACGACCACCCATACTCCTTTATACAACAATTTTTCCTTAAAACTATTAATTTATTAGAAGAAGAACAATAGTCTGTAAATAATTAATCAACTGTAACCATATTGATAGTCGATAGAAGTCCACATTTTTGGTATGTAATTTTAAAAAATCTTGGATAGTTTTTCATACCTGATTTTAAATTAATGCATATGATAATTCACTGCTTGAAGCAATACATTTGTGCATTGAAGATGAGTTTCTCACTCTGAAAAATGATTGTTCTAAAGGATAATACTAACAAAATGAATAAATTTTTTCTGAAAAAAGAAGACATTTATTTATAGAATGAATTAAGCAAATTGATAAATGGGTAGGTGGTTGCCTTTATTATAGGAATTCAAAAATAAAAGGTAGTTACATATTTGAAAAAAACCGTATTTTTAGATATGTTTTTTTTTTCAGATTTAAATTAAACCGTATTTGATTATCCTTTAAGCAAATTTTCATATTTAAATGGGAAGTTAGATAAACATGGAATTTATTAGATTTTTTCTTTTTCTCTTTTTGGGGTCTTTTTTTTTATATACATTTTCTTTTTAAAAATAAATAAATCCGTGAGTTGGTTATTTTTTTGAAAAATTCACATTTAATTAGTGGCCATTTTACTTTTCATTATTATTATTATTTTATTATTATTATTAATAAGAGTTAAGTTATTTAATTTTTATTTATTGAAAATGGTTGATTCACAACCCTTTTAATTTTCTTTTTCATTTATTCTTTTTCAATTTATAAATTTATTATTTAAATGATTTTTCCATATTAATTAGTGGCCATTTTTGCTTTTTATCTATTATTAATAAGAGTTAAAAACTTAAATTTTTATTTTTTGAAAATGGTTGACTCAAAGCCATTTTTTATTTTATTTTATTATTATTTATTATTTTTCTAAAATTTTGTTATTTAAATATTTTACACATATTTTTGAAATTCAATTATTATTATTATTATTGTAATTAAAAAATCAAAATTTTATGGTGGTTTCTATAAGTTTACACATATTTTTGAAATTCAATTATTATTATTATTATTATTATTAATACTATAATTATTATTAGTGATAATAATGTCTGATTAAAAGTATTTTAAAATTTAGTGAATTATTAGCCACTTTTCCATCGGCAATACATTAAAAAATAAAATAATAAATTCTTAAGAAAACTGTTTTTTTTTAAAAAACTGTTTTTTAAAAAAAAACTGTTTTAAATTGTTATTTTGTTTTAAAATGTAATTTATTTTTTAAATTAACTAAAGACAATTAAGTTATTGAATTTGAATTTA